CGTACGCTCACAACGCTAGATCGATACCTATAGGTGCCGGTTCGCTGGGGATCACGGGGCGTGTCAGGGCGTCCACCAGTTATTGAAGCAGCTCAACAAATAATTGGTGGAAAAGGCTGATACGACTGATACGATATTTTGCCGCATCCCCGCGTGAATTTGGTGCGAAAAGAGTTTGGCGCCGCGCCAAAAGCAGCTGCCCTGACACGCCTCATCATAAACAGCGAACCAGACTGTACTTTCCTAGTCGCTCAAAACGCCGACGTACGCTGAAAACGTTGGCGAAAGTATATACATAAACTAGGGTGGGTATGTTGAGAGAACTGATGCGTATCTCCGTAATGGATACAGATTCTCAGCAGAATCTCATCAGGAGCCGTATTCGGCCGTAGGGAAGGGGGCCGTGGCTGGTCTCAATAAAACCCCTTTCCGAGCTGAGTGCGCCGCTAATGTCTCGAAACAACTACTCTGGAAGAAATTGTGGGAGGAGGGGTGGATTAAGCTTTCTTGCCACAGCATATGTCTTTTATTGGATATCTGAGAGTCGTGCGTCTATACTTTGCGCCACCGTTTCAAGCGTTTTCAACGACTAGGACAGTATAGATATCGATCTGGTGTTCTGAGCGTATGCTGGCATACGCTGGTGCACGCTGCATTCGCTCAAAACACGGACGCAAAGTATGAATGCACTTCAAGCATTTTGGCACGGACTAGTCCAAGCATAAAATTTGTAAATGTTGAATGAACAGATTGTTAAACGTACCACGCTTGTATCCGATGGAGAAACCACGTCCTTTTCCTTGAGAGCTCGACAGGAAATAGACGAACACATTGTTTTGGGTCGTCACTAAGTATTCCGTGATGGTGTTGTTCCCAGAAAGCCTTAAAATGCATGAATCGCGTTAGATCTGCTTCTAATAAAGCTCAAAATGGACAGCGAAATGGATTCGTGAGAGTGCTGTAAAATATAATACGAAAAAAAAAAAGTATTAGTGAACCTGGCAAGCACAGGGGCAGATGGCGAAGAACCGTCATAGATCAACAGGGCGTCTTCCGAGGAGAGCGAGATATCTTCAATCTGAATCATCTACATATGTTCAATCACACTTCTGTTGAGACGTAGCAAATAGAAACTTAATTGGCACTTTCACATCTTACCTTATCCTTGCGCTTTTTTGCCCCGCTCGCCGAAAAAGGAATAACCGGCGCCAAACATTCCCTTTGGTACGCCCTATCATCCGCAGCGAACAAGTCTGTGCATACTTGATTCTCTTCTCCCATAGACACAGTGATAATTCTCTCAAATGACATAGCAAGGGGGGGGGGTGAATTGGAGCGTTGCCAGGCCGGTTTTTTCGACCAATAATGCCATTCTAAGTTTACGACAACTGGCGGGAAAGGCTGCTCTGGCTGTGCTCTAAGCCCCGTCACACGCCCTATGTTTCCCATGGACCGCGACTGCACAGTCCT